TGGTGGCTGTTGGACTGGCGGGTTATAAAACTAGTGGATGGTGGGATCCACCATGGTTTTTATATCTTAACCAGACTAGAGGGGTGTTCTGATCAGTTGTACTCTTATTTGGTTATATATGTAGGGCTCTACACTCAATTTATATATCCATTTTTCTCTAAAACAATTCTAGTTGATATTGGAGTCAAACTCTAACCCTATCCCTAACCCAAGCTTACCCTAGCCGCCACCTCGCGCACACCCACCACCCATTAGTCCAACAGCTACCAACGCCAGTGACAGCCACCAGCGACAGCAACAATCATTAGCGCCAGCCCAGCAATCGCTGCTTCACATCGTTCTTCGAGGCAGCTCCTCCAGTCCACCACTGCACTGCCAGTCTACCACCTCTTTGCGTCTCTCTCCGACAGCCAACACTATTGGCTTCTCATTTCCCTTGGGTTGGAGCATCTAGGGACGTTTAAGAGGGATCGGATCCCCTCCGTTGATCTACTCAAGGCCGTTCCAATAGTATGGAAAAAAAGCATGGGCTTTAGGCCCCAAATTTTTAGAAGGCCCCACAATTTTAAATACATTACTAACCCACAAAAAAATTAAATCTATTAGATTTTAAACCCTACAAAAAAACTTAAAAAATTAAATTCAATTAAAATTTTTATTGTAATAATTTGGGTCTATAATCTAATTTATAACATTAAAAACTTAAAAATTAAAAAATATTTAAAAGTCAACTCATATTTACTCCCACCCATTTTCTCTCTCTGGTAAAAAAATAAAAAAAATAAACAAAAGTTGAAATTAAACCTCTGTCCCTCTCTGTAGTAAAAAACAAAAATTAAAATATATTTTTTGACAATATTAACACATTTTTCTTCTGTCTCTCTATCACATAGAAAATTAAAAATAAATTAATTTTTTTAAAAAAACTAATACTAAAAATAAAAAGGCCTCCCTTTAATGTTTCAGCTTTAGGCCTCAAATTAACTTAAGCCACCACTGGATCTACTTTTGATTTAGTAGATCACCTATATATTTTTTCTAGATCTCTTGGCATCGTGACCTGTTATTTAGGAGCTTTCTGGACTTTTTTATTTGTCGCTATTGTTCAACTGAAGGTATATTGTTCTCCCTTATTTTTCCTTTATTCATCTTAGAGTAGTTTTTGTAGACTGTCACGGTTGCCACATTATTATTATTGCTACGACCACTAGTGAGAAACTTGAGATCCCTACCGTTAATACTTTCCCTTAGGATGTACCGTCTATTTTTGCAAAGATTATCCCTCCCACCTTTNCTACCGTTAATACTTCCCCTTAGGATGTACCGTCTATTTTTGCAAAGATTATCCCTCCCACCTTTATGTTTGACCAGTATACAGTACCTACTGACACAATTGCATTATCGGCAATGTCAATTATGATCTCTAAGAAGGTTATGACATAGTTATTAAATGGCTATAACTCTACTGAGTCGTCACGCTCATTTCAACTTTTCTTAGGGTGTGTTGGAAAACTTGGGGTCTGTTTAGTTTGCGTTTCAAAAAATAGTATCCGAAAAAAAATTTTGAAAAGAGTTTTAAAATAGTGATTTTGAAATTTTTTGATAAAAAATTTGTTTGGTTAGATGATTTCAAAAATAATTTTACAATACAGAAAATAGTAAAACTTGTTTGGGCAACCTAAATTTTGAACAGTAATTCAAATATTAATAAAAAAATTATTTTTATATTGACAATTTCATAATATATATATATATATTTATACGTATTTATATATATAAATATAAATATATATATATAAAAACATATATATATAAACATATTTATATATATAAGTATCTATAAACATATTATATATATATATATATATATATATTTACCCATATCTGAACATTCAAAATTGTTCTCCTTGTTTCCAAAATTTTCAAAGAAAACTGTGAAAACAAGCTATACTTGTTTTCTATTTCTTTGACTTAAATCTCATTTTTTTCCAAAATTAAGAAAACAAAAATGTTAAACAAACAAGTTTTGGGTGTTTTTGAAATTTTGAGAACAAAAAACTGTTTTCGGATTACAAACCAAACATGACCTTAGTTTGTTGACAAGATCGCACCCAAAATCAACTGATGACAACCATAGATATTCTGTGTATGTACCAATCTCCCAGGCCGTTTAACCTAATATACTCTGATATTTGAGAACCCTCATCTGATACTACTCTGTTAGGTACCCGATACTATATGACAATTATAGATAACAATAACTGTTGTACTTGGGTCTATCTTTTGTATAGGAAGTCCAATGTACTCCCTGTCATATCTCAATTTCTACAGATCATTAAAACACAATTCAACATCATTCTTTGTGCTCTTCATTCGAATAATGCCAAAGAATATGTGTTAGATGCCTTAGTGTCTCACCTTTTTCCCAGGGTATCTTTCAACAACTCACCTACCTATATACTTTTAAGTAAATTGGAGTTACTGAAAGGAAAACTGAGAGTCTAATAAGGATGATACGCTATATTCTTAGAGGTCTGGGGGTGCCCAAGTCTTATTAGCATTTTGCTNAAGGGTCTAATAAGCATGATACGCTATATTCTTAGAGGTCTGGGGGTGCCCAAGTCTTATTAGCATTTTGCTATTTTGACTTTTATCTTTTTGTGCAATCACACACCCAGTCATGTTCTTCAGCATAAGGCTCCCTTATAGGTCTTATTTCGTGAGTGGACACTTTTCCTCACGTCTTTGGTTGTACATATTTTGTTCAGGATCGGTCTTTTACTCGTCATAAGCTTGATAATAAAACTATTTGTTGTATCTTTGTGGGCCACTGTCATCTGTCTAAGGCTATTCATGTTATGATCCTGTCCAGCCATATGTATCACAGTCTAGATGTTACCTTTCTTAAGCATATACCTTATTTTTCTACATCCAATCTCGTGTTTGTCTCTCCAATTGATGATACTCCCTTTGATTTTTGAGCCAGTTAATTTACTTGATGAGATTCTAACAGTGGAGGATAATGATTCAGGGCATCGTTATCTGCATCGTGACCACTGGCCAATTGTTCGTTATGGTTGGGCCGCTAAGGCTTTATATCCGATCTCGGGTTATATTTCTTAAACTGATCTGTCTCCTACATTTTGGGCTAATAATATGGCCTTAACAGACACGTTGGTTCCTTGCTCTATTCAAAGGCTATGTGGGAGCCTTAGTGGGTTCTTGCTATGCAGACAGAGATAGATGATCTTTAGCGTAACCATACATAGGATTNCTAGTTCCTTGCTCTATTCAAAGGCTATGTGGGAGCCTTAGTGGGTTCTTGCTATGCAGACAGAGATAGATGATCTTCAGCGTAACCATACATAGGATTTTTTTTTTACCTTTAGGGGTGAAGCCTGTTGGTTATCGCTAGGTTTATACCCTGAAGTTTCTTGAGTACTTAGCTAACAGTAGGCAAAACATTTTATTTGCTGCCAGCCAAGTTAGTCAGTTCATGCACAAACTGTATCAGTCTCGTTTAGATGCAGTATATCATATTCTTCGGTGCCTCAAGTTTTGTCCTGGACTTGGGTTGTTCTATTCATCAGAGTCTTAGACCGATTCTCTAACCGGTTATTCAGATTCAAATTATAGGTGAGCTTATGATGGTTGATCTACTATAGGCTTTTNGTTCTATTCATCAGAGTCTTAGACCGATTCTCTAACCGGTTATTCAGATTCAAATTATAGGTGAGCTTATGATGGTTGATCTACTATAGGCTTTTGTGCTTTTGGAGGGACTCATCTTATCTCTTGAAAAGAGTAAGTAAGCAGTTGTCTCCCGTTCATCAGCAAAGACTGAGTATCAGGTACTGGCACTTGATACATGTGAGGTTATTCGGCTATGATCTATTCTTGGCGAATTNTTGTGCTTTTGGAGGGACTCATCTTATCTCTTGAAAAGAGTAAGTAAGCAGTTGTCCCCCGTTCATCAGCAAAGACAGAGTATCAGGTACTGGCACTTGAAACATGTGAGGTTATTCGGCTATGATCTATTCTTGGCGAATTGGGATTTCCAGTGACTTCTCCATCTACATTATATTGTGATAATCGATCTGCTATTCAGCTCGCTTTTGACTCTATATCACATGAGAGGACGAAGCATATAGAGATCAATATTCACTTTCTTTGGGAGAAGGTCAGCTACGGTATTGTCACCCCATCGTTTGTGCGGACTAGTGATCAGGTTGCATATGTCTTCACCAATCCTGTCACTCCATCCATTCTCTGATACTTCATTGTCTAACTTGGTTTAATTGACATTTTTGCACCTAACTTGAGGGGAAATGTTGAAATTATAGTCTAGTTATTAGTTTTCTTTTTTTTCCCTTACTATGGTTTTTATGTCTTAAACCATAGGGGTGTTCTGGTCAATTGCACTCTTATTTGACTATATATACAGGGCTCTACACTCAATTTGTGTATCTTTTTTTCTCAGAAACAATTCTAGTGTCATGATTGAAGTTACTAGATATAAGTTTATTTTTAAACAACGTTGAGGTGTTTAGGTTGTTTCCTTTTTCATGGTTGAATTATTGTATTTGAGATATTTTGAGATTCTTAGTTAGATGATGTTGAATATTGTTCTGTTGACTTACTGGATTGTATTATTTAGGTATGCTCTTATGATTTTAAAAGTTCTTAAACAGATCATGTCTTTTTATAAAATTAGGGCGTGACAAAGTGTCTGATAAGTTATTCACTTGAGAGCTTCATCAACAATACTTTAGAAAATTATATACTATTGGTCATAAATTTGTAGTATGCAGTTTATTCCTTTTATTATGCCATTTTCATCAGAAACTCAAATCAACATTCTAATCACATTATGAGTTTAAACTAAGTTTCGCATTTCGAGTTCATCAAATTGATCAATGAAAAGCAAGAGGCCATGTCATGGTATCTCATAAATATTTACAAATGCCATATTTGAGGCGAGTATACTTTTTATAACTGTTTTACATAGTTAGTATGCTTATCAGTTGGTACTTTTTTCTGAGCCTCAGAAAGTTGAATGAGTCCTACATCCATGTTTGATAAGTCATAAGAACTTAGGAGTAATTTATGTACCACCGTATAAATAATATTACAATCATGCCAGAATGGAAGAGCAGGGCTAACCTCTTTAATTTCATGCCACATGTCTTTTGCTGTGATAGTCGAGGAAGACCCAGATATCAAAAAGCAAGGGCACTCAGAGATATGGACCTCATCCGTCCCCTTAGCAGCAATGCAAAAAGTTACGGGATGGTGTCCATTTGCAGTTCTATACAAATGCAAACTTGCATCAGGGATGAAAGGCTAATCTATCAAACAAAAACAAAGGACCGTCTATCTATCAGAACAGGGAGCAAAAATATATTGTCTGATAAAGAAAAGGAACATACTTGTGATGCAGAAGCACTCCATGGACACTATCTCGCATCCTGGACGATACAAGGCATCATAAGTCAAAACACATCATAGACTTGCAATATGAGAGATCTAGGGTGACACATAATGGCAAGGATGCTAGCTACCAGAAAACAATTAAATTACAGTAATCACACAAGAAATTCCATCTGAATCGAAAAGACAAAAGGAAGTATTCTCACATGTATTTTGAATTAAAATGATGACCAGAAAATCCTGAGACCCCACCAACCGAATTCTGGACACAAGTAAGCAGAGTACAGTAAGTCGCACTTGCAATTTTTGCTGCACATTGAAAAACCCTATGTTGCATCATGGCTTTAAGCCAATTCTAACAGAAACCACCATACTTTTAATATTGAATGGATTATATTCAACTCAACCTAACAAAGTGTTGTCCCAACATTTTTGGGGTCGGCTAATATTGAATGGGTTATATGTAGAACATTTGAAATCTAAGAACACGATACGAAAATTTAGCAACTATTAATTTATTTATTTTTACTTTCTCCTTCCTTTTTGTTCTGGTTTTGGATAGATCTATTTACTATGTAAGTATTTTGTATCTTTTCTTTGTTGAAGGACAGTCGAGGTTATTGTTATTGGACTAACCAGAGAGAGAGAGAGAGAGAGTGAGAGAGAACACAATAGTCAAATGCATTTAATCCAAATTCACACAATAATGAATCAACATGGCAGAAAAATTTGTCTTACAGCCCAGGTAAAAAGCAAGGTGACATCTGCAGCAGTCTTTCCAGAGTTGGAGAGCTGCATAAAGCATAAAGAACAACTTAAGAAAAAGAGGCCCACTCAATTCTATTACACAGAGTCTTTCAACAGCAGTTTCCTACCGTGAATGTAAATACTGTTACAGGGAAGCTGCTCTCCTTGTAGTTATGCGGAATAAATGGTGAAATCTGGCGACAAATTATCTTAAGCTCCGGGTCAGGAGCACCTGCACAAGAGAGGCGGATGGGAAAGAAGGGTCAGTCACACGTAAAGGGAGCTGTCATCAATTTTATGCATTCTTGAAATTTAAGCCTTCTAATGATGAATACCATCGTATACAGTCCAAGCTCTGGGAAACAAAGCATGATATGTGCATTTCTCCCCTTCAAGGCTCCAATCCCAGGACTCAATACCTGATCCTGTACTTTCTCTGTGCATTCTGTTACTATTAGCAAAATGCACTATATTTTGTTGCCTCATACTCCAAACTAGGATTTTTACTTACCATTCAACAATTATTTTTGTACCACGTGTATTATCTATCAAAATATCAAACTGGAAGAAATGCAAGGATATTCAATTCTTCAAGGGACATAATGAACTGGCTACTCACTTGAGCACCTCTGGGTTTCCAGAGCATAATACTGTTGAATGTTTCTCTCCAGTAGGGCGTGAAATAAAAACCTAAATGAGGGAAAGGTGCCAAGAAATCTTTTAATTGCTGGTCATCAATACTTCGGATAGACTACAATTTTTGAGTTTTTTTCTCTTTTAAGATGAACTGTTTTATTTTTCCCATACCTGCTAGAATGACTTAATTGCAACAATTTCAGATACTTGAATTATCTAGAAATGAAAAACATTGGTAATTAAAAAAATACACAGTTTCCAAGTATTTACCCTCATGAAAAACAAATATGCAGGAAGCACTTGTATGGTAGGTTAAATATCTAAGAGAAAATATTTGAACATATTCATTTTTTCAGAATGATTTATTGGTTAAGCACTCCACACAAAAACGCACTCATTAGCAGACACTTGTGCTCTATTTAAAAAGATTACACTCACTTTAGTCCCCATAAATGGATGTCTGGGGATGGACTGAATCAGACATAAACTTTGGCAGTATTTGCACAGAGTGATTGTACTCATATTCCAACCATAATATTAGGGTTACAGTGCTGAACTTTAATCAAAAACCGAAGTACACTTGCACTCCAGATCTCTAAAGAAACTCATGGGCAAAAATTATGGCTTTCTCTTCTGTTATATCTTTTATTATCACTGTTATTGTAGTCGTTATTGTTATTTATCCATCTCATGGAGACGGATATACTGTTGCAACAGTAATCATAGCTACAAAAGAAGTACATAATATGACAATATTGTATTATAAACATCACATCCTCTCGAACAGATTATATTATTTTGTAATAAAAGCTTCCTTCATAATTGAGTCCAATATCAAAAGTGCTGCTTCAGCATTGTAGCACGATGAAAGCCATTCATTTGGTTGAAGCATAATATTTATGTTAAGAGTATTAGGGTAGTATATGTAAATTGTTAATAATGTTAGGGTATTATGTGTAAATACCAGAGAGTGTATGTGTAATTCTTATTATTGTGAGTTAAATATGAATACAAGTGATTTATGAGAGTTAGGTTAAATTTTTAACCTCTCTGTTTCTCTCTAATATTGTGTTAATCTTCTACATTTAATATGGTATCAGAGCCATTACGATCATATATATATATNTTATGAGAGTTAGGTTAAATTTTTAACCTCTCTGTTTCTCTCTAATATTGTGTTAATCTTCTACATTTAATATGGTATCAGAGCCATTACGATCATAAACACACACACACACACAGATATATATATATGTGTGTGTGTGTGTGTGTGTGTGTTCTGAATAAATTAATTTTGGGTAATGTTCGTTGAAACCATCGTGGTGGTGGGGATACTGTTGTCGTGGTTGATCGAGGTGTTGTAGTGGTTGCTGTCGTGGTGGTGGAAGTTGACTTGGTGGCACTGTGTTGTGGAGGTATTGTTGCTGAGGTGGTGGCAGTCGACGTTGGTACNGATCGAGGTGTTGTAGTGGTTGCTGTCGTGGTGGTGGAAGTTGACTTGGTGGCACTGTGTTGTGGAGGTATTGTTGCTGAGGTGGTGGCAGTCGACTTGGTAGCGCCTTGCTTCGTGGTGGTTTAGTCGACGTTGGTGCAATCGACTTGGCCTTGCTTGGTTATGTGCTTCATGGTTGGGCAGTCGGCGCTGGTATAGCCGACCTTGGTGCAAAAATTAGGGTTTTGTTGAAACCCTACTTAGTGAAGAAGACGAAAATCCAAGTGGGTCGGGTTTCGGGTAACGGGTCCAAGTCCACGGGTATACCTATTCTTAAACCCAGATCCAGATCCAAACCCGAATCCAAGTCCAATTCAGTTTCAAACCAGACCGGTCCAAGTCCGGCTCAGACCCGGTTCAACCCTGGTTTGATCCAGACTCAGCCAGTTCAGGTAGTTTTACCCCGGTTCAGACCGGTTCCTTCAATCTTTTGCTCCAGTTCAATGGTCCAGAACACTTCTAGAGTCCGATTCACCTAATTTTTATACCGGTTCAACTCGGTTCACCTAGTTTCTATACCGGTTCAGCCCGATTCAGTTAGTTTTTACTCTGGTTCATCAGACCAGTGACCTCAGGCTGCCCGGTTCAGCAATCCAACAGTCTCTTTTCCTCTGGTTCAGCATTCCAGTAGTTCGGTTCACTTCTTGTTTGCTATTTGCTGTACTATTATGAAACCCAAGCAAGATACCAGGTCCCTTACTCCATCTTTACCTCCTTTGACTCTTATTAATGGTCTCATGACCTCTGTCAAACTCAATGGNCTGCCCGGTTCAGCAATCCAACAGTCTCTTTTCCTCTGGTTCAGCATTCCAGTAGTCCGGTTCACTTCTTGTTTGCTATTTGCTGCACTATTATGGAACCCAAGCAAGATACCAGGTGCCTTACTCCATCTTTACCTCCTCTGACTCTTATTAATGGTCTCATGACCTCTGTCAAACTCAATGGGACTAATTACACTTTATGGTCCTGATCTGTTCAAGTCTTTCTTCGAGATAAAGGATTTAAAAAATATTTGGTGAACCGTAAACCCAAGGAAGACACTCCTGGATATGATCAGTGGAAATAAGAGGATCCTCAAATTATTTCTTTACTATTGAATAGCATTGAGTCTAGTATTAGTTCTACTCTATTCTACCTTGATACTATCAAGGAGATATGGGATCACTTGGCCACTATGTATTCTGGTACTGGTAATTTTATCCGAGCTTATGAGGTGTGCAAGGAGTATTTCCGACTGAAACAGAGTACTCTGAGCATTGAGGATTATTATTCTCATGTTCGGGAAGTCTGTGAGGAGATGAAGACCTACCATCCATTTACTACTAATGTAGCAGTTTGGCAGAAGCAACATGATGACATGAATATTGTTAGGTTTTTGGTAGGTTTGAAACCTGAATATAAGGCTATTCGTTCTTAGATTTTGAGTGGTTTTAGTCTTCCCTCACTACTTGAGATTNTACTACTAATGTAGCAGTTTGGCAGAAGCAACATGATGACATGAATATTGTTAGGTTTTTGGTAGGTTTGAAACCTGAATATAAGGTTATTCGTTATTAGATTTTGAGTGGTTTTAGTCTTCCCTCACTACTTGAGAATTTCTCTCATATATAGCGTGCTACTTTGTCTACTTCAGGTATCAATCATGGTGTTTCCACTGATCACTCAGCTCTTATGGTTCCTAGTAGCCATAGTGATGGTCATCGAGGTGGTCGTGGTGGTCAAGGAGGTCGTACGGGAGGTTGTATNAGTAGCCATAGTGATGGTCATCGAGGTGATCGTGGTGGTCGAGGAGGTCGTACGGGAGGTTGTGTGAGTGGTCGTGGGGTCGTAGTGGACCACATTCCTATACTCACTGTGGTCGTGGAAAGCATATTGTTGATTTTTGTTGAGATTTATATGGAAAACCTTCTGGTACTGCGAATCGATTTTTTATCAGGTTGACACCTCTGCTGAGGCTTCCTTACCTTAGTCAACTCCACCAGACACTGGGTCGATTACTATTACACGAGAGGAGTATGTTTAGTTCATGTTCCAGTAACAGGCTGTTCCATCTCCCTCCACTACTACTTTTGCCCAGTCAGGTACTGTTTTCACTTGTTTATTGTCCTCCACTCGCAATCCTTAGATCATAGACTCTAGCGCCTCAGCCACATGACTGGTGCGTCTAATGTTTTTTTTACGTATCAGTCTACTACTTCCACACGCAGTATTTCTCTTGCTAATGGTACTTGTTCTAAAGTTTCAGTTCTGGGGACTACTCACTTGAGTCCTAATAAGTCCCTATCTTCCGTGTTATTTGTTCCTTAATTTCTTTTTAGTTTATTTTTCATTAACAAAATTACTCGTTCTCTCAATTGTTCTATAACTTTTTATCCATCTTATTGTGTCTTTCAAGATCTCAAGACGAAGAGGAAGATTGGTACGAGGCATGAAGCTTGTGACCTATATTACTTTGATTTTAATTCACCTACTCGAGCTCTACAGGCCTCGTTGTCCCCCTTTCAATGGCATTGTCATCTTAAACATTCNGCATGAAGCTTGTGACCTATATTACTTTGATTTTAATTCACCTACTCGAGCTCTACAGGCCTCGTTGTCCCCCTTTCAATGGCATTGTCATCTTAAACATTCCTCTCTCCCGAATCTGAAACGTCAAGTTCCCCATCTGAGTTGTGTGTTGTCTTTATCTTGTGAAACTTGTCAACTTAGTAAGCATCACCATGTGTCATTTCAGTCTAAAGTTAATAATCGTGTGTCTAGTCTATTTGAGTTAGTACATTCTGACGTATGGGGTCCAATAAAAAATATTTCATCTAATAAATATCCTTATTTTGTGACATTTGTAGATGACTATTCTCATATGACTTGGTTGTTTTTTATGAAAGTTCAATCTGAATTATTTGCTATATTTGAGACATTCGTAAGGAAATAATAACTCAATATGGTTGTCGTATACGTATTTAGTAAAATAGATATTATTCATCAGACTTCCTGTGCGTATACCTCTTCACAAAATAGTGTTGCTAAATTCAAGAACCGTCATTTGTTGGAAGTCACTCATACCCTGTTATTCCAGATGCAAATTCCTCAATATTTTTGAAGTGAAGTTATTTTTACTGCTTGTCACCTTATTAATCGTATGTCNTACGATCTGACAATGCTCGGGAATATGAATCTGACCCTTTTTCAGCTTACCTTAGTAAAATAGATATTATTCATCAGACTTCCTGTGCGTACACCTCTTCACAAAATAGTGTTGCTAAATGCAAGAACCGTCATTTGTTGGAAGTCACTCATACCCTGTTATTCCAGATGC